TTTCCACCCTGGTCTCTAAGGCTTTTACTTAGACTGCTAGTTTATTGAAAAATTGTGCTTAAATAATTTCTGACGAAGTTAATTGTTAGGTTTATTCTAGAATTCGAGGCTTCCTTAGAGTTTAATGGAATGCAACAGAAACTGATATTAATTGTATATGGATGGTGTCATTCCTTTGAGCTAAGTGAAGAGATAAGAAGTAAGAAGCTGGTGCTCACAGTGAGGAGAATGCTATAAAAGTGCAGGAAGAAGGAAGCAAAACAAACACCCTTCTGAACCTCTCTGCCCCTAGATATATCTGTAACAGCTTACATTTTCACTCTACTAGCTCATGCCTGATGCGACCCAAAGCACCCATGTTGCTTACAAACTTCAACAGCCCAGGGGCCTTTTCCTTTTTAGACACCTCATATTGCAAGCCTTGGGCTCCCTAGCACAATCTTTTCTTCATTCACTTCTCATAGGTCTTTAGCACATTGGGCCCAGTAGTTATGGGTCAATCAGAGTCAAAGGTCCTTCTTTATTGAACCAGAAGTATTATTGTTATTTTTTTGGTAATAGAGATAGCATAATTTATATATGCATATCATAAACTAGAACCTATTCAATTTTAATCCCAACGATGGGATGGCATTTTATTGTAAGGAAATTTGTCAAATTTGTTTTTTCCTCGTTCCTTCTGTATCTGCACATTAAAGTTTATGTTGCCTAACAGTGCTCTAAATTTTATTATGCTTACCCATTTTGCATTTCAAATATATTACTCAATCGTTCCTACATTATTGCTTTTAGAGGGTGAAGAGATATCTTTATACCCTAAAGTTTAAAAACTGTTATAAGTTGATGTAGAGGCTTCAGCAATCTATCTTTGCATAGTTGGTCCCAAAAGTCGTCGATGAATTAGACTTCGTATTTCATTGTCTGCCTTTTTTTTAAAAAAAAAAAATAATTTCTTTTTTCATCTGCCTCAGTTTGACAGGCAACTCATGATCATTTCTCACTATTTCAACCATGCTTTCCATTTTTATAGGGGCGAGTGTGCCCTCTTGTAGGACCCCCCTCCCCCCCAAAAAAAAAAAAAACTGCATGAGGTGTTTGGAATTTTGTCTGGATGAATATGGATACGGAGAAAAACACTATGTTTCATAAAACTAATGTTTTAGAAACTAAACTAGTAATAGTAGTTGTATTAGTGGAGACACTGAATGCCATTCTATATCTGGTGATAAATGAATAAGCCAACATGTTTTTTGTATTAAAATTCGATGTTATAAACGATAACAAATCACATTTTTTTCCTTTTATATATATCAAAGTCAAAATAGAGCCTTGATGGAAAATCAAAATTCCTCTAGCACCATACTCTTCCCTCAATTTCACTTATGTGTTGGTATATGGAAGGTTTGGAATGTCTGCTTCAACTTCACTTGACTTAGAAACCTCATTGTTTCCTTGATTATTGCATTGATATAAGGAAGGTTTGGAATATCTACGTCATCTCACTGGGTTGCCAAACCAAATACTCTTTCTCTGGAGATGTCTGTCCGTGTGTGTGTGCGCACGCGCGTGTGCTGTATCGCTGGTCTTTTGTTCATTTCAGAGTATAAAAACTGTTGCAAAATTGTTCTTCTCAAAGAAATGATACTCAATTCCCTCTCTTAAGCTGAATTATAAATTGCATTTCCTACTTTCATAATTGTGCACACTTGACCATATATTGATTATGGAGGGGATGAGTTCTTCACTATCGTTTAGAGGGAAATCAAAAGCTTGTGCTTTCATGCTCTGACAGGCAATTTGATCTTGGTTTGCCTCTTTATTGATTATTAAAGTCACGTTTTTCAAGTCTCAATCAACAGTGCACTTATTTTAGTCCCACGTTGGCTGAAGAAAAAGAAGCAAAGGGGTGAATCATAAAAGAAAAGGAAAGCAACATTTTAAGCATATTTCTTTGACTGGGTTGTTGGGTAAACAATAAGGCCCATGAATTACTTGCAATGTTTAAAGCATATTTCCTGGAATTCCTGGAATGGGCCGTTGGGTAGCCAAGAAGTATATGGCTCTCTGAATTGGCAAGGCTACTGAGGTATTTGATCCGCTTGGATTTTTATTGGTTGTTGGCTGATTTTTGACTGGCTAGTTTTGTAGTCCACATGGATGGGAATGATAATTAGTTCTCAGGTTCTTTTGTTTGACTGGTTGATCTGGTTTGGTCTAGTTTATAAAAGCATGCTCAAGACATACATGAAATCATTAACTTAGACATAAATATATATTGACTATCAGAATCACTAATCATGTACTTTGCCGTGTAAACTTTGGCAAGCTATGTTAAATTCAATAACAAATAGGTTCATTGTCCTGATCAAGTTGCAAATTTTGTCATTGTATGCCTTTAGTTTCCAGTTTCCCTTTCCACCTCTCTTTTTTTTTTTTTTTTGGGTGGCTTTTACACTAGAATCAATACATTTTTGGCTGCAGAGCAATGTGAGAAGGACAAGGCCCGCGTTTTGGTTCATTGCATGTCAGGGAAGAATAGGTAAGTTATCACTATCATTTTTTGTTAATCATGGCAATGAAATATTCTGCTCGAATTAGTTCCAAATAATTTTGCGGTGGACTATAAAAAAAGGGGAACAAGAGCAGAAATAGTATAAAGGCATTTCGCCCTTGTGCTGCAGCCTTGAAAAAGGGGGAAGCAGTGAGGACATTGAAGGTTTCAACTATAAGGAAAGTTTTAGATCTGTGCAAGTTACAGTTCCCATGACTAATATATTTCTTCTGGCAGGTCCCCAGCTATTGTGATTGCTTACCTGATGAAGTCCAGGGGATGGAGACTCAGCCAGAGCTACCAGTGGGTAAAAGAGAGGAGACCTTCTGTGGAATTATCTGAAGGTACCTTTGCTTTCTAATTCCAGATTTTTTCACAATTTTAAATAAGATTAAGATTATTTTAACTAAGAATTCATTTGGGTTAGAATTTAATTTTTCACTTTATTTTATTTTATTACTCTATTAGGATTTAAAATTTTTTGTTAGGATCCATTTCTTATTGTGCATCTTAAAATGTATCTTTTGGGTTTTATATAAACCTCTTGCACATTGGACTTGTATCAGTTTTCTCATTGGTTAATATTGATAAAATCCCGGTCCTTTACCCTTTCTCCATCAGATTTGGTTTATGGTTGGCAAATAAAAAGAACCAGATTTGCTTTATTCTTGCTACTGTTCCTACATCTGATCTTCTTAGTCCTTATGGAATGAAATGAATTAGCAGAGAAACTTGAATTTGTTAACATTGATAGTTCTTCCTACCCCTCCTACATGTCGCTAAGGAAATTGGATTCCATACTCATCTCAAAAGATGAGCATTGGGTGCTTATCTATAATATGGACCTTGTAGATTAAAATTGGATGGTCCAATTATTGAAACAAACTGTGATATGGAAACAAAAACCTCTAGGGCCTTCTAATCATGATTAACTTTAATAAGCATCTTAATTTCACACCTTGAATTGCAGGGATTTGAATTGACCCGAGGATAGCTGCAAGAATAAACTAATCCCGTAAATATTGAAATCATACATGGTAGAACAGAGAACATAATTTTGATGGGCAAAGAAGGAAGCGCACGATAGGGGTAGGCTGAGTGTCCTGACTAAACTCCAAAGAGAAGCATTTATTTATGGTGTGTTACAACAACAATAAACCTTATCCCACTTGGTGAGATTAGGAGCATTGATTGCAAGACGCCATTGCTCTTTATCAAGCCTTGTTTATTATGTGTTGGATTTAAAATAATAATAATACAGTTTCCAGCAGTAAATACTTGTTTGCAGTTAATGAAGCTGTTTCAAAATCAGTTATGATGAGTATATTGAATGAATCAGCGATAACGGGTTTTGTTTACTTTTTTCACCGCTATCTTTCTGGCTTGCATCCTTCCTTTCATAATGTAGGTGTTTCCCAGCAACTGCAAGAGTATGAGCGCAAGATCTATGGAGCGGTTGACCCTGGCGGCTCTCCTTTGTTTGGATTCTCAACTCCAGCACCTCCTCCTATTAGCTTTGGCTACCCAAGAGTTAATGATCCAGCAGCTCCTCTTCCTGCCTTTAGCAATCCTGGCGCTACCTCAGTCTTTGCCCAAGCTCCCTTAGACGTGCCCCCGACTGACTTTACTTTTGGAGCCGGTCAGACTCAAAACAGTGTAATTGGGAGCCCATTCAACGCCAATCCACCAAATCGAACTGGCAGTGATGCCCAGATGGATGGTTCTTGATTCCGGCTAGAATAATTCACGATGACCAGTACGGCAACTCTGATGAGCTTTATTATCTGGAGCATAGAGAGTGGTGAGGGTAAAATGCTCATACATTGTAGCTTCTAAGACTTGGCTGGTGCTAAATTTATAGACTAAGGTAAAGTTTTTTACGTGTTTGTTATCAAGTTTTTCAATAAAAATTTGACATGTAAAGGAAATCTGTTGAAAGATCCAGTTATGCAGTGTTGAGTTATTAGAAACATACACTTGTCATATTTTCATTGTATAACTTGATAACAATCACATAAAAGTTGTACCCCGAGTTTAGGATGCTGTCCTGCAAGCTGCCTTGCTTCAAATCGAGATGCGAATGATCACAAGTGACTGATAGATACTATACAAGTTCATTCTCTCTTATTTATTTTCGACTCATTTCATAGTTTCCTGGTTGTAGTAATGAATTACAGCTGATTTGCTGGCCTGATGTGCCTGCTCTTCTGCAGAGCCGCACTTGGATTTTCCGGTTGTTAGACATTACAAGCGGAATTGTACAAGATGAAATAGGTTACGGTACTCTTTATCTACGCATTCGGTATTGTGTTACTCTTGCAGGGGGTGTTTGGATAGAAATCAAACCATAGTTTCAGAAGTGTTTTTACGGTTTACGAAGTAAATATGTGAAGGAATTTGTCTCGTTTTGCGACAAAGTGCTTCTGAAACTATGATTTGGAAGTTGTCAAACACCCCGCAGTCATACTCGTTTGCAAACTGACTTTTCATTTGAAGTCTCTGCCCATGCGGCCTGATCTAGACTTGACTAGATTACGAGTCTGTTTTCTTGTGGTGTCTAATCTGAATCGTATTATTCGTAGATTATGATTAGTGGAATGTAGCTTCCTTGTGTGTGTGTTTTAATTTGTATGCCCCTTGACTGAAAATAATCAACATGTGCCACCTCATTATTCAACCAATATAATCTTTCTTGAACAAACTCCGAAGATAAATTTAACAGAACCATTTTGTTAGGTAATATTGATCATTAATAATTACAATAATGGAGGATATTGTGTTCAAATTCAATAGCCAATGACCAATCATCAATATAAGATGTAAAATATAGAGCAACTTGTTTCTATCGTACTCTGCGTAATGCATCATTCTCGTGTTTAATTATGAACTATTTGTCGTGTAAGCAAGGAGCCTGGCTATTTATTTAGAGATGGCAGGAGTCGTTCGTTGGTTTTTTGGACTTATTTCACATAAAACGTCCCCTCAATCGACTTAAGGGTGTTTGGGTATTAAAATTTTTTTTTTAAAAGTGTTTTTTCTTAAATTGAGATAAATTTCTTCACATATTTATTTTATATACTATAAATCTCTTTTAAAAATTATTGTTTTAATTCCATCTAAACACCCCCTTAAACTATTAAAATTATAATAAATTGTATTAGTAATAAATTATAAATATTACAGCTTTTCTTTATAAAATTCTTTGTGAATAAACTACATGAATAGCACGTTTGTATTAAGCTTTATGCCTCACCTTTTTTGGGCAATACATTTGAAGTAAGAAGATGTGAAAAGATTGGAACAGGACATAGGTTAAGAGGATCCATGACCTCATGTCTCATTCCAATTATCAAAATCCTCCCCCAGGTCTACTCTGAGCACAATCAAACGGTGACTTATCGGACAAGACAAAATCTGATGTTCACACATGGGTTTAGGCTGACGTTCCTCCTTTTGACTATTTACAAAATTTAAAGGTCAATACTTAGAATTGATTCCTTTGTATGTATCAAGACGAAGTAGGAAGTATGAGTGTTCTTCAGACTTCACAAAATTGGATGAAAATTTTGACCCAAAAAAGAAAAAATCGATGAAAAGAAGATTACCTTGAGCTAAAGTTATTTAGATAATAACCCGATAAATCCAGTAATATTTAATATTAGACAGCTAAATCATACAATTTACTTCAGTCAGAGACATAATAATGACAAAATCTTCCTTGGATTTATATAGCCCAACCTCAGAACACATCACAATTCACAAAACTAGAATTCGAATCTGCCCAACACTACCTTACACAAATTACGCTAAAACAAAATAGACACACCCCACTCTTAGATATCCTTATCCTATACTAAACTTTATTCCACCACTTCTAAATTTGATATACTTATATATAAAGATTCGACAGAAATAAATAGGAAGTAGTACAGGACATTGAAATTCAACAATGTAGTTTAGGGATTTAATTATATTGTTTTCATAGGAATTCAGTTAAAACATTCTTGACCACATAATTGGCAACAATGCCGTTGGTTTTCTCAGTCGGATGAAAAGAATCCCAGAAAACGTATTTGGAAGCATCTGAACAAGTGAACATCTCCCCTCTCCTGCAGGCATACCCCATCTCGAACATTCCTGTTGCACAACACGCCACTGAGGTCGATTGAAACCCTGTTCCACACGAAACATCCTAGTCAACTCCGAGATAATTAATTATATCTAATTTAATCTCAAACAGAGGATAAATATTTAATACTAGTATCCAGTTGACTCATTTGTGACTAATCTATGAAGATTAAGAAAATTATTAAATTACTTAGCATAATCTCTCTAAAATATGTTTGTATATCGTTATAGTATATGCTAATTCATAAGCGAGGCAAGTTAGTTTTGAGAAAAATGATAAATATAAATACTTAGTAATTTTTTTAATCTCTTCAAATTAGATCTTATCTTAACGGGCAAGGTAGTAAATGGAAATCGGACTTACCATACTGGGCAGGTTTTGTTATGATGCGCTGTAAAATGAAATATGGATTAGAAAACGCGAGTCTGATCCCAGGTAGCTCCTTGTTCAGCTTCATGGTCAATCTCTTGAGCTTATTGTTGAACTCCAGGGCTATGGCGTTGTAACTGGGAACACATTCATTACCACCAACGATGTTTGTGGTTCTCTCTAATGGCAGGCAGCCCATTGGAGGGAGGCCTCCTAGGGAGATCCTCCGGGCACCCAGACCGTAGAGTTTCCTGATGAAGTTCTCGGCGATGCCGGCGAGGAAATTCTCGTATTGCTGAGGAGTGTACTCCGACGACCGGCCGGGAATGGTGTAGTAATTCTCCAGGAAGTCGTTTGTTCCCAGACTCATCATGTGTAATGCTTCACTTATGGTCTGGTTTGCCCTGCTTTCTCCAACATGCCCTCTTAGCTTGTTTTGGTAATCTTTGTAATACTCCATTTGCCTCCATAGTGGTATCACCGACTGAAAATGACAAATATTTGTTTTTGTCAATTTACGTTACTTTTAAAAGCTGTCAGCTTCATAATTCTTGAAGGAATTTGGCTGAAGCTGACACCAAAAAACTGACAAAACTCAAAAGTTAGAACCATGAAAGCATGAAACAACGTAATGTGAAGAGAAGAAGACAATAATTAATTACCAAAACATCGGAAGTGGCGTTGTCGTAACCAGTAGCGGCAGAAGCGAAGGTGACCCCGGTGGCGAAATCGGAAATGTTATACTTTGGATCCAAGTACGCCGGAATGTATGGCTTCAGTCCGACAGCCTCAGAGATGAAGTCAGTGGGTATCCTTCCATTGCTGAACCTCCCTGTAGCCTTCCCACCCTGAAAGTCCCTCCCATAAGGCTCGAAGTTGCTCCGGGCCACCGTGGGAATGAAGTTATTGTTCCCAGCGTCCACCGACGAGTCACCGAACACGATGACCGCCGGAACCTTTGAACCGCTGGTTCCGGTCACTAGGAGTGGGAGAAAGATGCACAAAGTAAAGTGTATGCATGAGAGGGATGATGATGAGATCGCTTTGTTTTGGTGGCCTTGCATTGTTGGAGCTGTAAGTGACTGTGATTTCTGGGATGAAGAGAGATCAGAGAAAGCGAGAGCGGTAAAGACAGGGATGGGATGGGAGAAGGTGAGATCATAAATGACATATTTGTGGGGGAACCATTAATTAATGCAACTTTGATCTTTTGATCTTTGGGCGGAGAAGTTGTTGAAATTCATAATTGCTCCTCACAAAACCACCCTGCGATTTTTTATGTTCATTACTACGACCACCACCACAGTGACATGGTTCCACATTATTAATTAGTTATTACTCTTTATATTCTCAATATAAGATTTATTTAACTAATTTGATTAGGTTAAGAAAGTTAGATAAGTTAATTAATTATAAAAAATATAATATTTTTTTCTAAAATATTATAATAATCTTTCTTAATATCCTTATGTCTTTTTCTATTTGATTATGGTGGAGGGAGCATCTATAGAGATAATTTAGAAAAAAAATAATAAATATGAAAAATAAGTTTTATATTTAATACCAAAATCAATTATACAATTAGGTCTGTATTAAGGACCGGACGAGTATTCATTAGGATGATGATGATTATATCAATTGACTTGAGATAAACTTGGGATCAGTTTTTCTCCCCAAGTAATGTGGAACTCGTATCTTAGATGTCATGTGAACGCAATACCCTGCCGGTGATCCTAACCTGGACTGGTATTTATCTTAACTTCTATTTTCAGAATATTTAGTATTTTTATGCCTATAATTTTACCTCCGTTGTAATTTAATCGTTAAATTTTGATTCAACACAACTCAAATACTATAATTTTGATTTTATTTAGAACTCGATAGCTAAATCTTGATTAATTGCAAGTTAGGAAACTTTAGTCTACTTAATTTCATTAAATATAACTAAGTGAGAACTCCGAACGAAATTAGTCAAGTGATAATATTAAAATATATACACACACAGCTGAATGAAAATTATAAGGGCAAAAAGATTGATAATTCGTTTTTCTTAATTTAACTTAATACTAATTGTTTGAAATTGAGAAAACTATCTTTTTCTTCCACTGGTAGACAGCTAGAAAACTGTCTCTATTTTAAGTTTTGTTCCAAAATTGGTGAGAAATATGCACTTTTTTGCATTGAAGTTTATTTGGTAGAACACGTACCCCTGCTTGAGTCAAACAATAATGAAGGATTCTGGATTAGTAAGGGACAAAAGCTTAATGTTCCCAATGTGTCAGCCTTAAACGTCACAAATTAAAGTACAAGGAATTGTGGTTATCCTTTATAAATAGTCATATGCAACACAATTATATAAATATTGATATGGATATCCTATATTGCTATGTATCACGAGGACAAAAGAATTTGTCATGGTTTTAATCTTTTTTTTTTTAATGCTTTTCTCTCATTGTCTTATTATTTATTATTTATGATGGACTGTACTTGTTCAGCTCCAAAAATAACCTTTCAACCCCAGGATCCATTGGGTGGGTAGGCCACACCCTTTCATACATTATTGCAGATTTTGTATCATATTATTAATGATTTATCAGCAATAATGGATCTTGCTGTAAATTTTGGTTTCAATGAAATTGTTGCTCCACTCAAATTTTAAATTTTATACTCATGTTGATTGATTAAACGTAATTATACCATTTCATTCTGCCGTAAGTGCTTATACCTATTAAACTTGCTGCAAAGTTTTGTATATAACAAAAATTTCAATAAATCACATTTATGCCATCTCTAGTCTCCACACAAATTTGCCATAGATGAAATTTCAATTTCATCAAAGCAAAAAAAAAAAAAGGTGTCAAAATACCAAAATTTAAATAAAAATAGGAAAAAAAAACACTGTACTTGCATAAGGCGGAAGATGGGAAGAGACGAGCTGGAGAAGTATATGAGAATGAGAGAGATGATTTCAGGAAAAAGATGTAACAAGAAGGAAAAGAGTTGTGGATCAGAATGTGTGTTTTGAGTAGTAAGGATGACTTTCAGAACACAAGTAGATGCATATATAGGAGGACCATTCTTGAACAAACATGTAGATATAATCGATGTGCAATAAAAGCTGCCTCAACAAGAAATACTACTCTTGATATTAATGCATCTATCCACTTCTTCACCTATTAATTCCAAAGGCTTTAATTTCCATAATTTTCTAGGTTCCCCAATTAATAATATATATTTTTCTAGTCTTATTTATAAGGCATTCTAGCAATATGTTTCAGCAGAATCAATAAAAACTTTAAACCTTATTAGTCTTATCTTAAAATGTAATAAATTTTCAACTTATTTTTCTTACTTAATATCTACTACTTTAATAAAAAATATAAAGTTAAGACAATAATAAATAAAGCTTAAAATTGAACATGAATTTAATCATGTAACTTATAAATAGAATTAGAATAAATCTTCTTCCTTTGCTTTATGTAAGTCCAAAATGCTGCTTCATGAGTAGTCATTGCCTCTTTAATAATGTTCTATCTTCTTCTGGTTTCATGACACAGGCACATGCCACCCTCTCATATATTTTCTGGGTTCAAACTTATTAGAAATTAAAGCACACATGTACACTATTAATTGTTTTCTTAAGTAAGACAGAGAAATTGAAACACGCACCTACACAAGTGAAGAGATTTAATGCATTCTGATTATGAGATGTTTAGTGGGCGAAAAAAAAAATTACTAATTAAAACTGATGCGAAATAGAAAAATTCATGTTTGTGATATAAAGAACAAAAAAGATGTGGGAGATCGAATTAATGAGGGAGGGATGCATGTGGTTGCAACCGTCCGTGAAAGAGAATTCCCACACACAGACTCATAAATTTTAAAGGCTTCCTTATTCAATTCTCCCACCAGAAAATGAGGTGATCCCATGTTCCTGTCTCTCTCTAGTTAAGTGCAACCACCTTAATTGTGTTCCACTGAGTTTTCGTGCTGCTATCGTAAGTATCACATTTATTTGTTGTCTCTGGCTCAACATCTGATGGATGGGTGTATGTGTTTGATCCGAAGTTGTGCACTGTTACTCATGATCTCCTGTTAGTGTAAAAGAACCATCGTTGACAAAGCAAGAGATCTCTTGATTCATTGATCAAGGACCTGTTTGGTTTGAAGGGAGGGAGGGGAGGGTGGGGTAGGGAGGGGAAGGGGAGGTTTTATCCTCACCTTGTTTGGTTTGATTAAAAAGAAGATGAGGGAATGATATTTAATGATCCATTGTTTGATTCAAGAAAGGGCGGGAGGGATAGTAATAATTAATTTATCATTTTACCCTTACACATTAGTTTATATTTTTATTGATATATTATATAAACCAATTTACATCTTAATTTAAATTATATAATTTAATAAAAATTCAGTCTCATCATGTTAATATGTGCATTAAAAAATTGGTATAGTAATTTTTTATTCTAATTAATATAATAATATATTTGAAATAATCAAATTAACAAATTTTATATGCTCTAAGAAAAATGAAATTTTATTCTCTTTAGGCTATCCTTTTTTTCAGCTTTAAAATATATGTAATAAATAATATATTTATAAAAAACAATTCATTTTATAATATTATAATTTTTTATTTTTAATTAATATTTGTTATAATATATTTTTTAATTATAATAATTTATATTTTTTATGTTTTACTTAGGATAATATAATTTTTATTTGAAATAAATATTATAATAATATATTTTATAAATAGTAGTGGAATATTAAAAAAAATGACCTAAAAATTTAGTTCCCCTCTGAAAACTCCTAATTTGGGAGGAGCTAAAATGAGAGGAGGGGAGGAGACATTTTGGCTTCCCTCCTCTGCTCTCCAAAATTTTTAATCAAACGAGGAAAAGGGTTCATTTTCCCCCTCCTCCCCTACCTTCTCCTCCAACCAAACACAAAAGATTCAAACGTTATTGATGCATTAAGAAGACAATACTACCTGGGCTATTTTCTTGATGATGTCTCTGAGAGTCTATTATTGTTGGATTGGAGCCATGAAGAGATTGGAATGACTTAGCAAACAAGCCGATCGAACTTTGCTAGCAACAGCTCATAGTCATTCGATTTCCTTCCATCACAAGAGGGTCGCAAGATTGAGGTTCATAAACACTTGTAAAAGAGTCTAAGGATTCACCATATATATATATAATCACCCATAATAAGGTTTAGGGTATCATGCATCCCCCTCCCCATGAAATATCCCGACACAATCAATACCATCCACTCTAAACTGAATTTGAAATGCACTTTAAAGGTCTCATAATACTTCTGAATTTGAAATCACAAGGTTTTATTCCAGTTCAAACGCAAATCTCTAACTAATAACATGCATCTGCATACGCATAATAATGCTTTTCCGCTTCTTCCATCTGCTCTTTTCCTTCATTGCTCTTCATCAGATGACTCATCATCTGTATATGAGCACAAACTCACACGTCAACATAATATACCGCATTAAAAAAAATATGCTTTTTGAGTGAATAAAATAAATATTTGATCAAAATCATTAATAAGATAAATTTTTAATTAATCAATATGTGCGTGCTATGAAATAAAGTTGATATCTTTCTATTTTCTTGAAGTGAATAATAATAATTAAATTTTGGAGTTATAAGTTTGCTGGATACAGAAATTCTAAGATATCAACTAATTAGAAAGAACAAGCAAGTCTATGGAAGTTCAGATCTTTATGAGTTGATCATGAGCTTAAGGACTGACAAGTAATATAAAGAGGTAGTTAGGAACAAAGATTTTTCCTCTTTCCTTTTGGAAAGAATACTAGAATCATAGATTAACATTTTAAGTACAAATTTCAGGTCTGTAACAGAGACTTCGCTGGGAAGAAACTCTGTTTTATTAAAAAAATGGTTAATCAATAGAGTAGATTTTGTAATATTTGTTTCAATTGTATATATTTTTAATGGATCATTATGTTTAAATAAGGAAACCGTGGGAGCAAGATAAATAGTGAAATACCTATGGTTTGGGTGGAAGCGGCTTGCAGGGAGGAAAAGTCCAATTTTGGGCATTCATCTATCTGGACTTCTTGGAGTTCGAGTTTTGGAGCATTTAGCTTGAATCCTTTGCAGAAGTGAGTGAGGGCTGGCAATTTTGAAAGTGTCAATAATTCTAGATGTGGAAGCACAAGTTCTTGCGTACTGGCAGTTGCTTCATCACTTTTATGTGAACAGAGCTCCTCCATTTGTGTTGCCTCTGATACGCCAATGCATTCCTGTGGCGGAAGCATTCCAACATCAACGTACCTGAGAAGGCATTTCAACTTGTTGCAGCGTTTCACTGTTATGCTCCTCAATTGTGGAAAAGGCAACTGCATATAATTCGAGTTGGATACAGTATTCTGAGCTTCTTCCAACGACTCTTGCATGATTTCCTCTACTTCCTCACATTCTGTAATTTCTAGATATTTCAGTTGTGGAAGGCTTCCCCAAACAGACATGGAGAATATACATTTGAGTTTTCCACATCCATGCACTCTTAAAGAATAAAGATACTGGAAGCTCAAACTTTGGGAGGAAGTGAAAGCCGTGCATATAAAACTCAGCTCGCTTAGATTTTGGAACTCTAATTCCTCTAATGTCAACAGGTCTAGATAGAAATATGGAAGTTGATGAAGCGGTTGGTTGCTGTTGTTGGCGTGAGGCTTTGCTTTCTATGCAACACACAAATGGAGCATATTAATGAACTAATAGAGAAAGAAAGCCAAATAAAGACATTTAATGATTCGGCCAATAATAATATAGTGTATACATAATACAAAGTAAAGGCAATTCAAGGCTCTAAGTATGACGTGTTTAAGCAGCGCTAACTTTTTTTATTTTATTGTCGTCCTCCATGCGAAACAAACAAAACCAACACTCGAATACAACTTACCTGTGTAAACGATATAATCCGCATGCTCCCAGTTGCTCCCATAATTGAAGAAAATTTTGGGCAATTATTCATTTTAATTTCTTGGACATTCTCTGCGGATAACTTAAATCCTTTGCATATATCAACAAGACTTGGCAATTTCATTAGCCTTATGTCTGTCAAATTTGGAAGCACAATTTTGTTGACATTGTCATTACTGCTGTTGGCTTCACTCCTATGTTCAAAGAGCTGCTCTAACTCTGCACATTCTGATATCTCTATATTGCATAAATGTGGAAGCAATATGGTGACAGAGGAGGTTGAGAAAAGAGACTTGAGCCTGTTACAGTGCTCCACCCTCAACACTTGTAACTTAGGAAAGCTAGTTTGGAATGATTGGTGATCTTGTTGTGTCAGAATCACCTCCAACTCCTCACAGCTCCGTATCATGAGCGTCTCTAACATTGGGAGGCTTCTTTCGGGGCTGCCCTCACCAAATACGGATTTCAACTTCTTACAATTATATAGGCCCAATTCTTGAAGATGGACAAGGTTCGAAATATGTGAAGGAGCTCCCCATATCAGCCACAGCTCAGGGAGACTTCCTAATTCTAATGCTTCCAGTTTTGAACACAACAGCTGCATATACACAGACCAAACAAACACACATCAACATAATAACACAAGACAAGAAGCCGCTTCCTTTTCCAGATGCCAATCATCAGTACAACATTTTTGCTTTATAAAAATAATTCAAAATTATTGCTCAGCTACGAAACTATATTGCCTATAACTTCAGGCAACATCTCTGTTCTTTTGCATGCTTCAACACCAGTGTCATGTGGTTTACAACAAAATATTATCAAAATAATTTTTGAATTCATCTAATTAATAAATTAATAAACTTACTAATAAATAAATAAAATTTTTAAAAATAAAAAATGAATGGTTCTTTTGATGCATTGGAAAATAGTGGGCAACATTTCTCGAATGTTGGGAAGAAATATTTAAAGGCCACATTTATCTTTTCATTACCTATAAAAATATGGAGTAGCTTTTAAGTGTTGCAATAAAAATAGTTTTATAGGCAACAGTTTTTATGTTGCCTATTTGACGATTTCAATTCAATAGTTGAAATTTGTCGCCTATTCTGTTTTAGGGAATACTTTTAGATCTGTTGTTAAATATTACTATCACCTGTTCATATGTTAGATTACGCAACAATTTCAGAAATGTTGCATAGTCAAGTGTTACTAAAATTAAAAAATGTTCCAGCGTCCCCTTTTCTTCATATTCAATAAAATAATAAGAAATACGACTATAAAAAAAATTTCTAGCTGTCTAGCCTATGCGCGTGCGCACACATATATAAAAATTAGGGTAACAAAAATATAAAAAAAATATTCGAATGTCATTTTTTCCCTTTTAACAAAACTAAAGATATTTAAAACTGCTCATTTTAATTCACATAGAATTTTCATTTGAAATGAAAAAATTGATCAATCAGCTGTTATAAGTTCGCATGGTTTGCTAAAGAAAAAGAAACCAAAATTTAAAAAAAAAAATTTGAACAATCATACTGTATACATATATATATCTATAAAGTATTGGACGGAAGCGTCTACGTTCAAGAAATGTAAAATGTTAAATCCTTTGACAAAATTCATCCTTTGGAAAAAATTATATGTTCAAATTCCTGCTTTTAAATAAAATTAGAATTTTAATATATAATTTTTTTATAAATTTTAATTTAGAATTAAAACTCGATAATTCTACTATTATTTTTCTGCACAATTTCCTATAAAATCCTTACCAAAAAGAGGGAGGGACAGCAATAAGAAAAAATCAAATAGTATTATATGTATTTATGCCATAAAAATATTTAGAAATCATTAAAATGGGTACATATTGTGTATATTCGTTATTAGGATCTTGAATCTCTAATTTTGTTAATCTAAAATGAAGTGAATACAAATATTGCATCATCCTGGGATATAATAATAATTTAAGATTCAAGAAAGAAAAAGAAGGAAAAAAAACTTATCTGCGATTAGATACTTAAGGATTCCAAGAACCAATAAATTGAGCTGCAATAAAGAGAGAAAAAATTCATTTAAAGAAAGGGAAACAATTAGCAAAGATGTGAGTACCTGGCGAAGACAATCATTGGAAAAGGATAAATTGTGACAGAAATCCTTGAGACTTGGCACTTCTCCTAGAATCAAACTCCTTAAATTAGGTAATACATTCTCCGAAAAATCACTCCAATCTATGGCCATTGAAAATAGGCATTTTAACTTGTTGCATCTTTGAACTCGAAGCATTTTCAGATTTTGAAAACATATTTGTGGTGAATGAGGAGAATTCAATGGGCTTTGATGTTGCTCTCCTACCTCTGCACTGGATACTATTTCCTCTAATTCATCACAATCTGATATTTCAAGATATTCCAATGGTGGCATGTGCTTAAGAATTACAGGGGAGAAAATAGTTTTCAAATTGTTGCACCCGCTCATTGTGAATTTTCTAAGATTTTGGAGGCTCAATTTTTCCATGGGACCACTCCAAACAAATTTTAGATCGGGCAGATTCTTCAATTCCAGAGCACTTAAGGAAGACGTTAACTTGCTCTGTGAAGTCCTTTTAGTCAAAACATCCTCTTCAAGTCTAAATATAATGTCTTCCGTACTACAATCATCGACCTTAAGTTTCTCTAAATTGAGAAATGATAGTGGAGCTGAAATCCCACTATTCAATTGATTGTCCTGTGGCAAAGGATTTCACAAATCAAAATAAGATATTCACATTTGGTTCGTGCATCATTTTCATAGATATTATTGAAAAAAAAAATAGCAACAAAAATTCGAACGAAGAATTTAACAGAGGGCACATGAAAATACATACCATATTTCTGGTTGAACCATCGGTGATGTTAACACATGAATATTTCAATTTGGGACATTCCACGCATTGCAATTCTCTCAAAGATGGGCAACTTGAATGAATGTTTTTTGGAAAAATGCTGAGCAAATTTTTCAACTGATATAGTCCAAATGATTTCAAAGCAGGAAGCTTGATCTGAACCTCTTGATGCTCAACTTCATGTTGACCAAAAGCATATTTTAGTTGAGAAGCCCTATAAATGCACACCCTCTCCAACTGCTCAAGGCCTCGTACACAAGAGTTCGAGAATACATATTCCAACTTGTCACAATCAATGATGGTCAAACTTTTCAATTTTGAGAACACCAAATATGCACTATTGTTTGAAGCTGAAATTATTTCATTGTTAGCACCACCACCATCCTCCTCTATTATATTCTTCAGTTCACTACAGCCATTTATATTTAGCTTTTGTAACGATAGCATAGCTCTCACAACACACTTCGGAAATAGCGATGTCAGCGTAGGGCAATGGGATATATGTAGTTCTTGTAATTTTTCAAAGAAGCAAAGCTGAGGGGTACCACACCAAATGACTTTCAAGTTCACTAAAGACTCCAACCTTAAGTTGATTACCTTTGGGAAGAGCCAACTTTCT